ATATATATATATATATAGAATGATTTAAATATTTTATAGTAAAATTAATTGTAGCACATAAATATTCTATAATTAAATCAACAAGTTGAAAATGAAAAGAATATTTAAGAAACATAAAAGTCAAAGCATAATGTAACATACGTTTCTTATATGGATTCAATTTTTCATAAAATAATTTCTGATGTCTTTTTTATAAATATTAGTATTTTTTATATTATTTGTACTATATGATAAGAATATTTGCTTAATTTTGTCAAATTCGTTATACTCACTTCAATGTCATCTTTCTTAATTCTCCGATCGTCGGATTATATTCTCTGTCTTCTCTGTTAATTATTGCCACTCCTTCATCAACGTTTACTCCATACCTATTCATTACCAAGTCCATCAAATCCGAGAAATCATCGTGCTTTTTTATTGATGACAATGACATTACCCCGCTTTTCTTTGATTTTTCAATGATGGGCGTTACGTCGTTATTAGCCTGTTCACGACTGCCGTTACCTCGTTGAAGAAATTTCCGACGGAAATTGTTGTAAACGGTATCAGTCTCCAGCGAATCACCGATTCGAACTCGAGCATGGCTGGGATTCAAATGATGGCCACTGTAGCCCAAGTCCATCTGTAAATCCATCACTAACAATAACGTGAACACGATGGCGAGCGCGCTCAAACATAGAACCAACTTGTCACGAATACGGATAAATCTAACATTTAGTCTCATTTTAGTATTTTTATTGGGCTTCTTGCTGATCGTTCTATCTTCTCCCTCTCCAATAACTTATGCAATTAATGACAACTGTGAATTATCCGATTGACAATATATAAAAACGTACGATTTTTTAATCAATCGTTGGTTATTTAAAACTTCAAGATTATCGATTTTTTTCAATGAACATATATCTTAACAAATGAATTTTAAAAAATTTTTTTCGAATTTTTTATTAAGTGGATTCATTAAGATGCTTTTTTTCATAATTTTAGAATATACTATTAATAGTAATTGTAAATTTATAGGATTACCAAATTGATGATTTATAAGGAACAATTCAAAGGGATTTTGTAAACCTTTTAATTGATGATATGAAGTTTCAAGATCTATTATTTTCAAGATGAATTATTAATATCTTTTTTTGTAACTCGATTTCTTCAGAATCTTTTATCTTAATAATTGGTTCTTTCAATATTTTTTTCGAACTCTTGCACTTTGATGATTTGACATTTCAAGTTTTCCTTATATATATGGTTAATGAATTCTTCGGGCTTCTCTTAGAATATTTTTCAAAATTCAAACATCTGCCACACTTTCAATAGATCCACGATAGAATCAGCTAGTAAAACTTTTTCGAAAATGTCTATTAGCTGTTCAAAACAAGAAAAAATGTTGAAGATCTTAATATGTTCTTCTGGTGTTTTTCGCGATCAACTGATGCTTCGCATAGTGATTTAGAACCATAAATTTATATTTCATGATCGAATCGCATTTATCAGCTGACCCACTGTTATCGAATCCCGTTGACTCTTGACCCTGCCAGTCCTCTTCCAATGGAGGTGATAACTTGACTTTGCAGACACTATTGTTTCCTTTTCGCGCTTTCTTCCCAAATTCCTGAAGAGCTTGCTGAATATCCTTTGGAGGATAGATTTATAAACGATAGATTGATAAGAGAAACTATTGAATCTCTCCTAATTTGTTGAAACCTTAAGGAAGAGATGGAAGCTGCTTGATCATCAGTAATATTAATAGTTTTCTTTTCACGAAAAAATTTCTAGCTGGTTCTTTTTCTTGTTAGTTGTAATAGCTCTTCCTTTTCCTTAATTGAAAAAATATATCTTTCACTTCGAAAAAAATGTTTTTCCAACCAAGAAAAATTATTCTGGACAATGTTTTTTATTAATTGCGATAATACATTTTTTTCAGAAATGCCTCCTTCTTTAGAAAAATAAATATCTTGCTTATCTAAAAAAATAACTTTCCTAGGAGAATAAGGACTCAACAAAAGATTTTCTGAGATGCCCCTTTTTATTAACTGTGATTGTGGAATTACAGGAATATTTCTCTTTTTCAACTAAAGATATAACATTCTTCAGAAAAGAATCATTTTGGACAATTCTTCCTATTAACTGTAATTCTGGATCATTAGGAATTTTTTCTCTGTGATAAAGAATTTTTGGGTGTTAATTGTGGAGTTTTACGAAAATCTTTCTCTATTAAAAATATGTTTTCTTCAAAGACACTCTTTGATAATTTTAAATCCTTTTGTATGTTTATTTTCGTTAATTGCATTAGTAAACCAATTGAAATTTCTTTTTGCTAATAGCAAATTGTCAATCACACTTTTAATTATTAAATATTGACTCTTTTTAATATTATTTCTTGTCAGCCATGAATTTTCTTTAGGAATATATAATTTAGTTTCTTCAATACTTTTCATTGTCAATTGGAAAATCTCAGCTATATTCCTTTGGATATCCTTTGATGACGATAAATCTTTCTGAACAATGTTTTTTCTGTCAATTGTTTTTTACAATCTGTTTTCGTTAACAAATTTTTTTGTATTCTTCTTTGGCAACAGAAGATTTTTATTAATGTCTTTGGTCCCCTCTTTCTTCAATAAAGAATCATGATGATTATCTTTTTTAATGTTGCATTTTTCTGATCATATATTTTAACTGGTTTTTCTCCTTCAACTAATAATTCTTCTTCTTGAATATTTTTGTTCCATTAATAATGAATTGTCCTCAGTCTTCTTGCGACAATCGGGTTTTCCTGTATATCCTTCACTAGTACTGGACTCTTACGATTTCTGTTAGTTTTTTTTGAATATTTTTCTTTTGAATATCTTCTTCTAAATTTTTTTTATATTTTCTTTTTGTAATATGAATCTGCTGATTGTTTGTACTGTCCAATAATGCTTTCTTTGAATATTGTCCCTCAATGACAAAACTCTTCTTGAATATCCTTTTCCACATCTAAATACCCCTCGGTATTTCTCTTCACCAACGATAGATCTTTAATAGCAATCTATTACATTTTTCGTCATCTTTCCTAAATACTTTCTTTAAAAAGCTTTCTGTCCTTTTAAATCTTCCAACATAATCTATTGTTAATCGGTAATTCAAAGGATGTGTCTGTTATTATCTTTCTAAAGTTCTTTGACTTCTTGTTGTCATTGTTTTCATTTTCAAATTTTCTACTTT